AGGCGCCCCACCCCCCCGCCAGTCGCGTTTCCAGCGTCTCCGCAGACTGGGCTCTGGGCAAGCTGTTCCAGTCTGTCCCTGTCTCTCTTGCACCGGGGACCCAGCTCCGGGTTCAGCTCTGCAGCGCTGGCCCAGCAGTGAGGAACAGAGGGGTCACCTCCCTCGACAGTGCTCCCTGGCGCACATCAAACACAGGATTTTCAGTCCTAAAGACACGCGACCGAGTATGCTGGCTTGGCTCATAACTGAGCAGTCACTATCTAACATGTAACAGCCTGAAATCCTCTCTAAAGCTTAAAGGCAGCTCTGTTTAGTCAGGACATAATTAAAAGCACCTCAACTCCCCAGGACTCGGAGCAGGGCGGGCAGTCCGGTGGCAGTCATGCCGCCAGGGCAGCCCCTCAGCAACTGCTCCTGCCCCATGGCACACACGCGGTGCCACCACTCTGTCACTTGTCAAAAATCCACTTAACAAATTCACATCCTATCGCGGAATCAATACAGACGTTATCTCACAGGAAAATACTTTTATACCACATAAAAGATACTTATTGTTTTTAAAGTGTCTACATCAGAGTACTCCTTCCCATCATTTTTTTCTCTAAAAAAATGGTACTCGTGGGATAATACACTTTGTACCCATAGTACAGTACATATCCACAATCTGTCTTGATAAACAAGCATTTCTCCAACACTGAAAAGAGATCATCCATGAAAATACCTTAGTTCTGTTCCTACAAAGTTACACTGCTTACCCAAAAGAGAAAAGCAGATGTAAGCTTTGGTTTCCCGTAAAAACCATGTAGCATTTTAGGTATGCAAGAGCAGCGAGCTTCAAAAACCTGAAAGACAAGACAGCCATCCATTTGCCCACATTAAATAAACTAATTTCCTCCCACTGAGAATCACTGCACATAAACTTCATTTTTCACACACTAAATAGTTTACTGTATCTGCTCCAAAACAACCATTTGTAAGGCAATTGTAAACGCCTCCACTGCAGTGGGTGCCAGAGGCTCGCAGCCGGCAGGAGCCCCCCGGCCTCTCGCCAGGCTCGGTCCCCACTGGCGCAGGTGTTAGGTGACTATACTACAACCCTGCTTCACAGTAACAAAGTTGTTCGGCTTTCCAAAGGTACGGCAGTCACGTGCAGCGGAGATGCTAAGGAACACAATGCAAATAAACCAGCAGACTGGTCAAACATGAATGTATCTCCTCAACCACGACAACGCTTGTCAGCTCTACTCAGCGCTGGTCAGGCCACGGTGTCAGAAAAAAAGACATTGTGTACAGGAAAACAAACACCTTATATAAACCTAGCTCACTACGCTCCAAACCTATAGCTTTCACAAAAGAAAAACCCGGTAGGAAGGAAGCGGAACAGATTGTGCAGGAAGCCCAGGCCCGACAAGCGAGCGGCTGCCTGACCGCCAGAAGCGGTTACACGGGACTGCAGCCCGCGACGTCACGCGAGGGCGGCCACTTCTAAACCCACCCATCCCCAGCGCACACCCTGTCCCCTGTCAACTGATAGCACTGAAACACATACAATAGTGAAAAAATAAGCTAAAAAAGAAGTAACTTTTTGTCCATCTTTTCGAACAGACATTAGGAACATTATGGCATAAGCCCTGATGAGTCTCAGCAGTTTGTTCTGGAATCGCAGCATCTTAATTCACAGTAAAAATGCAGACGAGCTAAGCAGATCAAAAAATAATGAGCGGCACACTAAGTGGCTGTTGGAATCATTTCTGTAGTGAGCACTACTCTGCTGTAGCATGGTGTTTAACAAACTGCTAGTGCTACGCTTGTGGAAGTTTAACCTTCGCCTAAGGAACTGCCAGCTAAAACCTCACGAGAACGTCACAGGAGCTCCACACGCTGCCAACAGGACGACAAACTGTACAGCACGTGGCTAATTTTACAGACGACAAGCACAGGACAGAATGCAATTTCACAAGTTATCACAGCGCAGGCAAGTGCAATAGAAGATGAATTTTGCTTACTTTGGTTCGCCTATCTTGATACCCGGGTGTTGTGTGTAGGCATGGGAGTGTGTGCTGGGAGCAGATTTAAATGCCATAGGACAGATAGGACACTTGTAAAAGACTTCACAGTGACAACCTTGAATGTGAGACTTGAGTGCCGCCACGTCAGAGTACACGACGTTGCAGTGCACGCAGCTGCAAAGAGAGCGGAAAAGAGTCAGTTCAGCCTAGCCCGGAGCAGCCCGGAACGCAACGGCATCAACACCGATTTTCAAGCACGTGGAAGAGAGAAACATGTACGCACAGCTGCAGAAAGCTTCATCATTCTGCCAATTTAAGCCACCCAGTAAGAATCAACATGAACAGATTTGCACATCAGAAAGTAAGAAAAAAGGAATTTCACAGGTTTAATGAAAATCTAGGAGATAGGAAGGCAGAACACGTTTTTATGGCATTACAACAAAACAGACACAAGGGTCGACAGAGGAACATTCTACTGATTGTAAAAAGAATGCTTAAACCCGCTGCAAATTTGTAAAGAGATTTTCCAAAATGCATTTTTATCACATGCAGTGGACTGTAGAAATTATGCCGCAGCAATTTAGAAACTATCACCGAAGTGGAAAACCAGCAAGGAAAACATTTTCACCATTTCCCTTGTTCAGAATTAATGAAGACACAGCGGTAACGATTTTCTGGATAGGTAATCAAATCAGCACTTGGATTTAAAAACAAGAAAAGAGTAATTTAAACTTGGGACAGCTACACCAAATCTCTACAATCAGATCAATCTACCAGATTGGAATTCTGAAAATATTTTTCAAAAACATACTTCTGCCGTGTTGAAAATTTGTGACCTTTCCGCATCTATTCTAAAATGGAATGATTGAAAAATTGAATTAATATTAGTACCCCTTTCAGCATCAAACGTCTCCAGCACTAAATGCTACCAAATTATTCCAAGAACATACTGCAATAAGCAATTACAATATAACCTGTCAAACAAACAAATTCCTTATTGGTCAGTATTTTGAAGTAGGAGTTTTACAGTTTAAACATAGAAGACCTCTACCCCTCCAAAATACTAATTTTGGCATCTATTGTGGTAGTAGCAGTGTTGCCATACAAATGTCAAATCATTTTTTCATACAGTTTCAATATCCTGATGACAGCAATAAAGCAGGAAACAGTCATACATTGCATTCAAGGAGCCCGTTTTCCTACCAACACCTTTGTATTTTAGGAAATGTCCCCCTTTCTTTTCTCAATGCTTAACTTACACTCTCAAATACTGTTAAGCAAGGCTCTATCTATCTAGTCTCCGCTTACCAATGCATTTTCTCAAGTAAATGGCCCTTGTCTTTTTTAGAACTGTGAAATGTTCTCTGCTTGTACACAGATGAACACTCCCCCAGGGTGGCACAGAGCCCCATCCTCTCGCTGACACCGCGAGGGAGGGACTGAGCCTCCCCCTCTCAGGCTGCTCTAACAGTTTGCCTCTTCTCAGCTTGGAGGGCTGCAAGTAAACTTAGGGGAGAAATTTTCAGCCGACTTAGTTCAGACAACCGGCCTAAATCACCAAACCCAAGGCGAACTCCCTTGCAGCGGTCCTTTGGGAGGGCAACACAGGTGATGCTGCTCTTCACGCAAATGGACCGTGGTGACAAGGAGATGCCGGGGAGTCTAAGAAGGCAGACATTAACTTTCCCAGACAATGCTCCTTGCCTCGGCGTTCTTGGTTTATTGTCACCACATCCGGAAATTCCGACTTGGTGGGACACGAGATTTATGGCAGATCTTGAGAAGTTTGGTATCTTTAGATCTACACGGAAGGATTTGTAGCTCTTCCGGTGTTGCCAGTGCAGGCTAGGAGGCCCTGAAGATGGCTCCGTGCACATGATGATTCCAAGAGACAGACTAGAGGGAGGGGAGGTAGCGGACGTAAGAAATGTAGGACAGGACAGACTACTGCCCGGGAGAAAAGAAGAGAAGAACCCAGAGAAACGCAGAGAGTCGGGAGTTGTGTCAGGCCACGGATTCACTCTGAGAAGAGGCTGCCATAGCAGCTGCCTCGAGGCAGTAAAAATGTTTTCTTCCCTTAGTGGAAGATTTCACAGCCAGCCCAGGAAAGGAACTTGCGGCACCATAAGGGGGAAGCGAGTGCCTGCTGGCGAGGTTTTAAATCGCCCTGCTCCAGGCAGACAGCGTGAAGTGGAAATGTTTTAGGAGCGCTGAGTGCGCCTCGGCTGCACGGCTTGCTCTTCTCATCTCTCGCTGTGCTGCCTGCCACCCAAGTGTGAAATTCTAAGCAAAATCAAATTTTCGAGCCTTTCAAAACTTAACATTTCCATGAAATGCCTCTGGTCCCCATTTACTCAGTGAGTTGCCATTTCAGGGAAATGTGAGGATAACAGGAAAACTGAAGAGTAACAAAGAACCACCAAAAGACCGGGCTGTTGGAATGAGAAAGGTAATCTTCAAGCAACAGAAAGCTGAGGAAGCTTGACTTTCCACAGAAAAGAGAGCAACCAGACAGCGGCAGTGTGCCCGGCAGCATCTCAGCAGTGAATTCTGGCACTAAATACTGGAAAACACTTCTACCAGAGAGAATAATCCAAAAATTCAATGTTCTGAATAAACTCAAAAGTATTTTTAAGAACCTGGAATTAAGGAAATGCATCTGAGTTCTCTAGACCTTACAAACTTGAAGTCCCAAGTCTGACCATTTCTGGCTAGATGAGATCAGCTAATATTTTGACTTAGTAACACACAAAAGTGGATGCCCCCAAAAAAGCAGATTCCTCACGTGGCATTTATTCCAAAATTTGAAGTACTAACAGCATTGTTGCCATGACAACCGTAAACTCGTGAAGCTGTATTCTCCAAACAATGCTTATGAAAATGGAAAATTACTTTTAAAAGCATAAACCGTACGTAAGTTGACAACAAAAGAAATCATTATACTGACCGAAAACCAACTCTTCGGGTATAATGCAGGCAGTTCTTAGTGACATGAGTCTGGAAGTGGACAGATCTGCAGATTGCTCCACATTCAGGACACGTGTATGGAGATTTATGCTGATGAATTCTCTGGTGTGATGCAAAACTGCACTGGTTAGGAAGCAGCATCTGGCAGATATTGCATGTCTTCTAAACGATAAACCAAAATAGATGAAACAAAGGGTTTGGTTCAGCTATATATAACGTTGCGTCAAACACTGTAATACATCAAATAAAAGGTTAAATGTTACGGCTGTGATATGAACCAGAAGAAGTAAGCAAGCGCTACATGCGTGTCCTGCTAACAAATGCAGCGGGAGAGAGCTGGCTGGTCCTGGGGGCCAGCGGCACGGGCACCCCGGGGCTCTGCCACACGCACGGGTGGGCCAGGAGGTGCAGGGTGCTTTGGGAACTGTCGCTCTGTTACTTCGATGCCCTGGGCAGTGCCTGGGGGCTGAGCACGGCCTGCGAATCAAACCCCACAGCTTTAGGTCAGTGCACCACACAAAGTAAAAACCCCCAACCCACCATATGCGCTATCCTCACTCTTTGATCCTTCCTCCTGATGAATTCTTAAGGCAGTATCCGTAACAGCAACAAAAGGGGATAGTGTAAGAACAACTGTATTTTTGTATCACAATCCATACACTTCACTGTTATACTTTTTCAAAACAGCTTAATCTAAATGCTTCTATTGAGAGTGCATGTAAATACTTCTCATTCTTTCTTAAAATCAGTAATCTTAAGTAGAAATGTTAACATGAGACATCCTGTAGTCACACACACAGAAGTAAGAAGCGTTTACTCTGTGAACTCAGTGGCCTGACAGGTTTGAGCACAGTCTCCATCCACAGGTCTCAAGTGTCCTGAGCAGAGCAAGATGGCAAAATACAAGACATTAAACCAGAGGACGTTCAGCACAGAAAACCTGCCCTTAGACCACTTCAGGTTCAATATTGGTGCTACTGCCAGCCTAGAGGACCAGCACGGAGCAGGGGTACCCGTAGCACCCCGTGCCAGGCTCTGCCCCAGGGTAACTGCCTTGGGGACACAGCACGTCTGACGCCGTGCACAGGTCCACACGTGGATTCGCTTCGAAATACCAAACGCTGGCCCTCCACTGCCCACACCACGGCCTCACGCCCTCCGAACTGAACAGAGCTCCTCTGGCACCCTCACTCTGCCTTCAGCTCAGGCTCACAGGAAAAACCTTGCCTGGCCCTACTTCGACTTCAACTGTGCTGGCTGCCCTTCCTTGGCTTCAGCACCCTTCCTAAAATCCATCCTCTGCCACTCAGGCGTCGATTCAGTATCAGATTCACTATCGGATACTCCATTCTCTAAGAAAACAGCAAAACAGAGCTGCTCATTCCAGCAGTGGAAACCTACGGGGTCTTCGTGGTCCTCCCACAGCCCCTCCCTGCACTGGACACGGGACCTGCACGGCCGCCCCGCACCCTGTCCCCGCGCAGCCCGGCTCCGGCCCTGCAGGGCCAGCGGCTCTGGCCGACCCAAACCGCCAGTAACGCCACTCGTTGACGCCACTGGTTCGCTCTTTTGAGGAGTACAGCAAAACGTTTAACTGTAAGTGACTGCAGCAGAACAAGAAGAATCTACTGTGAAATTCTGAAGTTCAGCACATCTGCTTACCATTTTATTTTGGGCTTAAGGTGGCATTAACGTCTGGTTCTCTCTTTCCGGCTTATACCAACATAAAAGACAAGACTGTGAAAATCATCACCTGCCTGCCTTTCAAGTCAAAGTTTCAAAAAAAAATAAAGGGTTAGAAGAAAAAAGGGTGGAAGTGGAAAATAAAGATACACAAGACCTACGAGCACGAAGGGAAATGAATACAGGAGCTATGCACTTACACCCGCAAGTAAGTCGAACGTTAACACTAACTGGCCCAAGTTTGCTGCTTTTTTTCCCTCCAGTAAGTAGAGGAGGGTTTCATTCTGACAGGAAATCTGTTGGTGAGCGGTGCCATTCCACTTAAGGGGAATATTAATGGAAGTAAACTATTACAGAAAGGTAAGAACTTTACAGGGAACATCTTGTAATTGCGAGGGCCGGTTTACTATTTATTTAAAAAGAAATATTTAACCTTCATAACAGGAGTTGAAGAAGAAAAAGTAATAGCTACTTACTGCTTAGACTCACTGAACGTGGAAAACTACACAATTTCCATTTTAAGAGCTATTAGGTGGGCACTAGAAAGACAGCAAGCTGCAAATAATTAACTTTTTTCCTATTACTTGCTTGCAAAATCCAAACGTTTAATTCTTTCTTCCTTCCTTCTTCCCCAAGTTAAAATAGCAATTTCATGTAACTTTCTCATCTTCTTTCCCCCATCACCACAGGACTTGTACACCAAAAAGCCAGTGCCAAGCACTAAGGAGAAAAAACAAAGGCTGAGTATTTCTCATGCAAACTCTTCACGGGCTAACATCTAATAAAAAATATCCAAATGTGTATTGAAAAAATAAAAACGTTCATTGTCTATACAGGGTCCTTCCTCAGCAAACACCACCCCTGCAGCAGGGCTTGGGGCTCAAACCAGACCAAAAGCTAACGGGAGAGCGGCACGTGTGGCCCCCACCACAGCACTGGCGCCGTTACACAGCTGCTTCGCTGGGTGTCCCAGAGCAACACCAGGACCACAGCACCTCGTAACGTGCAACACGGAAAAACCAGCACGGAATTGAAAACTGATGCCTGATATATGAAAAGGACTTAGGAAAAGAAATTAATTAGCTTTTAAGAGGATATTTCAAAAAAGAACATTTAAAACTACATTTATAAAGAGTGTTCTTTGAAAACGGAACAACATGAAAATAGCTTATTTTCTTTCAGCACTTTGCTGCAACAAGGCTGATTTTGGTTTTTTTTTAAACCTGGAAATCCATGGCCTTAAGCTCTTACAAGTTTCCAGGAAGACACAAACACAGGGACGGGCAGCAGGCCCACACTGCTCTCTGCACCCCCATCAGCTTTCCTCTTGGAACAGCACCACGGCAATAGCCACACGTAGTTCTCCACCGAACTGCAGCTGTGTTTTAACAAAGATCCCAGTTGCTCTCCTGCACTAAAATCACCAGGGTCAGCAGCATCTAAGAGGACGCGCACAGAGGGCAAACTCGGCAGCAACAGGGCAGAAGCACCAGTCAGAGGCAGCAGGAAAGGGCAAAAAGGTTTCCACAGCTCCGCTCAGTGCACCTGTCCACACGACACAGGGCCCTGCAGAAAGCGAGTGCCTCACTTTACCTCTGCTCGCCAGCTTTTTCACTCGATGCTTTCCTCACCCTCTCAGCCTATTCTCAGTGTATTTGTTTGTCTCTCACCCACCTGCGTTATCTTGGTGCCTTCTCAATTGCTTCATTTTATAGCACCAAGAAGAACAGGGTTTTCGCAACGACTACTGGATCTTACTATTCCAAATGACACCTGCTGGACCTGCGGCAGCAAAAAAGAGACCCTAACACCAGTGAGCACCAGCAGAGCAGTCAGCTAACGAACAGCAGCAGATTATTAAGGGACTGCCGTGCCGGTGCAGACCACACTCCCGGTCAGCCATCGGGTACGGGTCAAACCTGCAGCAAGATCTAAGCCCGGAATACATTCCGCCAGCTTCTTTCTGACAAAAGCTTAACTAAATTCCCCTCAGGTGGGCACATCGGTAGCACCTTGCAGACACGGGGCATTCTGCTGTGAATCCAGGAAAGTGCAGCCCAGGTCCACTGGCCAGTTAGTAGAGCAGGGGCCGGGGCAGCGCCACCGAATCCATACAGTCACGATTATTTCTACGTTCAAATCTCCCTACGTTACTACCTGTGGCAGTGGGCACAGTGTAACTGCTTCACAGCCACAGAATGGCCCTAAGCTTAGTAAACAGACCCTGACAGGAACCTGGCTGTGCTGCTGTGACGAACGGGCATTTCCTAACCACAGGCCTTAAAAACCTTTAGCCTGTGCTGCTGTGTGATTCCCAGGACTGTTCCTGCCTGTCTCCATCGGTCTGAGCACGCTGGCAAATTTTCAGCTTCCCGCACAGCAACAAGCTGCAATACCAAGCTCACATGAATGCTTTGAAACACCCCAGAATCCCTTTTAATTGGCACGCCCCAACAGAAATCCAACTGTATCGTTTCATTAACAGTCTGAACTCCTACAGGATTATAAAATACATCGCACACTGATTAATAGTAACTTTTATTGAATGATGTGTTTCTTTCAGATTAGGCCACATACATTAGTAAGAATTTTAAAATGTTTTTTTTAAGTTTAACTCGGTAGCAATTGTAATGGAAAAGGAAACCCAACACAAATAAACAAATGGTCACACAGCAAGAAATGCATGCTAGTCTGTTGACTCGCTGTTGAGTTTTTGCTTCTGTTTAAGAAAGACCTGAAGAAAAGAGCATGCATATCCTTTCAATAAAAGCAGTGTGCCATTTATTCATTGCCTACAGTCCCTACAGACGAAGAGGAATGCCTAGCTCATGGGGCTATACAAAAAAATAAAACTGAAGACAAATCAAGAAGGAATCACTTGAAACTATCACTCACACCGAATAGGTGGGCTGTTAATGAGGGTGCCAATTAAGTGGATTCCACAGAAGACTCAAATTCCAAAGCACAGAGAGAGTAACTAAAAATCCTTAGTAAAGACCATGATTAATTTCAGTATTATGATGTCCAGCTGCAAGAAAGCTAATTCTAAAATTTAGCAAAAACATACAATGTAAATCTCAGGCCAGGGTCTAAAAAGATTCTAAGAAAACTCTTACTTAAAAATGTTGACGTGCACTGTGTAAGTGCTCGCAAGGTATTTTGTGGTTTTCGTTTATACTTTTAATCACGGAGGCTGAGATAATTAACAGCTAAACGAAAGTAAAAGCATATCCAAAGTCTCCTAAGCTCATAGATGAAACATTGGAATTTAAACATAGGATACTCTACTTGTCCGCTTGTGTCTGCAGCCTGCTGGAAATGAGTTGCAAGAGATGTCTCGTCTTGGAAAACTTCGTTACACTCCAAACACTTTAGACTATGCCTACAGAGTTTCGACGGATCTTCGTCCAGCGGCATAGCCGGGACGACGGGCGTACTGGCTGGGGCCGATATCACTGTCCCAGTTATGCCAGACTGGATCTTTGTCACAGCGTGTGTGCCAGCTCCTCCAGGGCTCTGGAGCATGGACGCCACAGTATTGCTCGAAGGAGATGCTATCATTTGATCTGCTGGGACTGGCTTTAAGATCAGGTGCGAGCACTGCATTACAACTCCCTTCTCCTTGTGCCCGCGTGCGTGGGACAGAAGGCTGCATTTATTGTAGAAAACTAAATTCTTTGTGCAATGGTTACACGTCACTTCGATTCGCACGCTCCTTCTGTCATAATGCTGGGTCAGGCTCTTCTCAAGAGCAAAGGAGTCTCCACACTCCAAACACTTGTAACCTCGCGTTGGCAGCGTTATCCCGGCACTGGCTGGGGGACTGAGGTTTGGGATGTAAACGGGCACGGGATTGACGCTGCTCAGCACCTTATTGAACGCTTCCACTACGGAGCTTTGTAGAGACGACACCACCTGGACTCGAGACACTTTTTTAGAAGGCTGCGAGGCCGCCGCAGAAATTATTGCCTGCTTGATTTGTTGCTGGGGTTTCGTTAGCACTTGGCGGAGTTCCGAGGTGGTTTGAGCACCTTGAGGCAGAAGGTTAAGGTTGGCGAGATGGACTGTCTTTGGCACGAGTTTAGCGCTGGCAAGGCTGGAGGCTGGCACCACGACGGTCTGCTGCTGGATGGCGTTGGCAGCTTTGATAATGGCGCTGCTGGCGCTCTGCACCGAAGCAGCAGATATGACCGTGGCCTTCACCGTCGTATTGTTAGCGAGCTTCAAATTAATGACTTGGGAACCCGCCGTCTTAACCGCTGAAACAGGGAGAAAGGCGGTGGCCACAGGTTTGATAGTGACCTGTTTGGGGGCAAGTTCTGCAGGTGCAATTGCGTTGGTGACAACTGCGGACTGGAGAGGAGCTCGAGGAGGAGAGGAAAGAACAGCAGCGGCGGCTGGCGAGGACAGGAGCGATGTCACGGAAGTCACCATAGAAGCTGTCTGCTCTGGCTTTTTGCCGGAGTCCAGATCAACTTCCGGCAACACTCTAGTAACAGTTCTCTTGATCTCCCCAGAAGAAGTCTTGATGGTTTTTATGCGAACTTTCGGAATTGCTGGTGTTGACCCCGCGGGAGAAGACGGCGACCCTTTGCTACTGTTTTCACTTGACACGCTTCTGGGACTATCAGGAGGTTTGGCAGATGCCTTTTTAGCACCGTCAACGAGACTCTGAGATTCAGGTGATTTCTCAGTCGCCCGGGGACTTTCACTCACGTCTTTGGGTAGCGGAGAGGATTCTCCTGAATTCGACTGTAAATCTTTGCCACTATCTGTAGCTGCCTTTTTAGCACTCAGCGCCGCGATCGCAGCAATGCACGAAGAAAGCTTTGCTGATGACTTTGCTTTGGACTGTGAAACGCTGGCAAGATTTGTTTCGCTTTTTTCAGTACTCAGTTTTCCATCAAGTACCCTGTTTTCAAGAAGCTTCTCGGAATTATCTTTTAGCAATTTGTCCTCCATTTTTCGAGATTTAAAAGGCTCATAGACACTTAAATTCACGGAGTTTGCCTCTGTCTCTCGTTTAGAAACTTTGTTTTTATCTATACTACTTGAAACTGAGATGCCGGATTTCATCAGGTTCTCCCCTCCCAGTGACTTCAGTTTGTCATATCCCGGCTGAGACACAGCTCCTGCCAAGACATTTGCTCTGAAACTCGCCCGCATCTCCTCTTTGTCCGGGGGGTCATCCACCTCAATTTTTTCATCATCATCAAATTCTTCAGCACTTGATATTGGACTGAACTGGTTGAAAGCTGAATCCTTCAGTGTAGTCTCAGCAGCTGACTCGTCATCTTTAAGCGACTTCCCTTCATCTTTACTGTAACTATCAAGAGCTGATGAGGTCAGAAAGCCGTTATGCAAGCCATTGCCCGTGGAATGGTGGCCGTCCTTGTCCACTCCTTCGGAAGAATCAATAGTACGCACGTTTTTCACAATGACGCTCACGCCGACATCAGATGATGATGGCACATGAGAATCTTCATCTGCATGAGCATTTTGTTTTATGTGGCTTTCGTGGTCTTCGTGCCCAGACTCAATAGCTGCTTTTGGATCAACCATGTCTGGTATGTCAAACGCTGCAAGAAGGTCGTCGAAATCTGGGGTCTTCATATCCCCCATGGTCATGTATTTGATTGCAAGTAAATCTGTAGAATAAGCAGAAAGACATCACCTCAGCGTTTTAAGCTCTAATGGCACAGTCTTACACTCACATATGCCATGCAAGATGTTATTTCACTTCTGCAGCAACATCTTCAGAAATTATACATTACAAAACAGTGTTCCAAGTTGCGAGTGTATAGGCAAATTACTACACCAAGAGCTACAGCAATCCCTCAGCTTCACCGCCCATAACCCAGTCATTTCCTTCTAGGCACAAATCTCTCTCCTGTCCCCTCTGCGACACTCTCCCCCACACACCGTGAGTACAATAAGATCCCTAGATTTTCAAGAAAGTAACGCGAGGTACTCGCAATTCCCCTGAAGTCTATATTTTCCTTGACGTTTTACATTATCAACCCGATGAGCTTTCTTGAAGATGGTAACAAATGTGTTTCTAGCAACAGTTTAAGGCTGTTGCCCTGTTTTCCATAAATCAGATTTCCTTCTAAGACTTATGGAAAAAGTGTTTCCTTGTGTTCACGACGCTGTTTCAGTAACTCTCCAATGGAGGATCTGCTGTAGCTACGCCACTCTTGACAGGTGCCCTACTACAATGGATATTCTACAACCTCCCACATAACTGATTCCAGTAATTCACAATTTTCACTGTTACATGCTCCCTACAACATAATATGAACCTTTCTTGATGAAATTTGAATTAACTACATGTGCTTCTACTCACCTATCCTCCTTGCAACAGTACATTACACCAAGACCATTAGCTCCCTTCAAATTTCTCCCTTTTGGCCTAACCAGCACCAGATCTTTAGGGTTTTCCTTCCCCTCAGAGATAACATTTTCCAGATTCCGTTCTTCTTGTTCACCACTATTGGGTTTTTTGCGTTCAATTCCCAAACCAAACAGGTAACTCAAAACTGAAACGCTACAAATGTTGAAGCAAAGAAATGCTAAAAAAGAATAACTCATTTTGGGTATAATTTAAATTTAAATTCCACTATGATATTTGCCTTTTTTCACACATTTCATGCAGAAGTCTGCAGGGGAATCACTTGTAGAGAGCTACAGAAACCAGCTAGAGAAAGCTCAGACAAACATTTTTTCCTTTTCTTTCCTAACCATGCACAGGTACGATCTGCATTGTTGGGACAGGGCTGGTTTCAACATATTTTCACTGTTTAGTAATTATCAGGCCCAAGTTAGTATTCACCGTGAAAAGACACTTCCACAGCCAAGTGCTGCTGTTCCTGTGTGCCTGCCCAGGAAGCATCCCATCAAAAGATAAAAATCGGCACCGCAGGGCTGGGAAACATTCTTAGGACAGAGCTCCGGGTTTAGTCTCCAGGACCCACTGACCCGTGCCACTGGAGAAGCACAGCGCGACTCGCTGCACCGCTGCTCTCCGCGCTCCTCCCACGAGCTGAGCTGGGCAAGAAGCCACGTGGCCCACGGCAAGGAGCCACACTGGAAGCTGCTTGCCAACAGCAACTTCAGGAGCCCCCTTCCTCCTCCTCCCAGCTCACTGCCTGGAGCTCTGGAGAGGAACTACTTGCCGACCTTCAAACTCACCGGTAACTATACTAAGAAAAAGCTAATCGAAACGCAGTGTTTAAATACATACTTTTATGCATGTCATTATTAACACAGGTAGCCTTATGAGACAGAAGATTATTTGAGAATGTTGGTTTTATTGTGTGTTTACTTAGAAACTTCTAAAATCCATTTATTCAAATGCCAGTCTCCAGCCTTCATGCATTTAAAACTAGAAACCGAGATGAAATGAACATAAAGATGCCAGTTATTGGCACTGAGCGTACATATGTTTGTAGGTGTCTTTTTACAGTTATTGTATACACTCAAAAAGAACGAGAAAGTCTTCCTGTTCTAAAACTTCCTCTAATTACAAGTACTGGAGCACAATTAACATTTAGCAATAGTAGCGAATTAAGTAAAGGCCCACTTCTACAGTATTTCATCGAAGTGTGCTTAAGAGCAAAACTGCATTAGCAGAGGGTTTGCCCTTCCTGGAGAAACTCAGTTAGGCTAATTCCAGAACAGGAAAATACATCAGAAGATCTCATAGGTCTGAAGAGCTATGATCATAAGTTGATCTGCAGGGAGCCTCCTGCGTGAAACCGAGACTGTCTTTCCAGGCGCATGCCGAAGGAACGGCTCCCCTGCTCTCCCAGCGCGTGAGGACAGCACGGTTTCCTCTAGGCAGGGGACCCAGAATCTCTGCTGCCCTCACGAAGAATCTCCTCCATTCCTCAGACTCTCAAAGCAATCTAAGTCAAACAAAAAGGGACAGAAGACATGGCCAGTCTTGATAAGTAAGTACGCAAAGTTGTCCTCTGGACGTTTCATTAATCTCTTCCTCACCAACCCGGTACACCATCATTTGAAGACTCAGTCTATGAATGACATTTCCACCACACCTGCCTGCGAAGCCACACTCGTCCCGTATTCCTTCTTCGAAAGCCTTCCAGTAACTCCTTCCCTTAAGGATAAAACTCTGCTTTTTATCCAAGATCTCAATCAACTGACACCTTGGCTGCCAGACAAGCTGTTAGACAGTCCCTTCTCGGGGCCAACAGGACGTCCGTCAATACCGCAGTTCAGAAGAGGAAACGAGGCAACTTCTTGGTGCTCTAGGAAATCGTCACTTTCCAGGAACTGGAATTTTCCTGAGAACTACTTTCAAGTGCTGAGAGAAAAGCCCAGCGTCTCCAAAGAGACACGCAAAGTTGTAAAAACTGAGCATGAGAGGGCTGCCATTAAGCTGATCTTTGGCACTGAACTGAGAAACAGTCCATAAGGTGTGTAATGAAGGATACACTCCTCAGACTAAACAATCCAAAACAGATTTAAAGAAATAACCTGCAAGATCCTCACCTCCTCAACACCTTTGTCTGAAATACATTCTTTTTCATTTTTAGTTTCTAAAGAGCAGAAACACAATTTACCTAAAACCAGGTGAAGTCTGTATTACGACGAATGATGGACAGATGATCCTCACAATCAAACACCTCTGGGGTTTGGAGACTCTGTCCCAAGCACTACTACATTTCCAGATGAGAGTCTCCCTTTGTGAGATTCCTCTTCCTTCCCATGGACTAGTTTCATGCCGTATCTCTCCCGCCCCTCCACCTGGCTGCTTGCTGACGCCCAGCAGAAAGTCAGGAAAAGTCCAGGGTTTGAGATCTTTAGGGTGCTTGAATTCCTTGAGAAAAGTCACTAAAGAAAAACAGTTTCTTGGAGAATTCAAGCTCCACTCTGCTTACTGATTATTCCATGATAAAAGGAAGTAAAAAGGAGGAAATCCTGGATACGGCTCACAGGAATTTCTCAGCTAGAAAACTATGGAGCAGTGAGGTGCAACAGCGCTTCCAAGGTTTGCTTTTCTTGACAGCAGGTAATAGGACTTGTGAGCAGAGAGCGGGCTCTGAACTCACGCACTTCACGATTTCCCTTAATGCCTCCGGTGGCAACGTCCACCCCTATGTGTGCATCAGTTTCTTACCAAAATGTGAGGCCTCAACTGAGTTCTGGAGGCTGAACCAGGATTGTTTTGTTAGTGCTTTTGCGTTGTTCAAAGCACGTGTGCATGACTTCCTACAGTCTTCTTTGGAAACGCGTCTCCTGGAGTAAGTGCTTCCTGCGAACAGCATGACAAAAATGGCACAGGCTTTAGCCAACGGCACACACCTCCTGACTGTTCCACTGTCTTTTCCCAGTTCACCTTTTTACTCCAGTTCATCTGATACCACATTCCAGTAAAGCACTTGCTTGGGTAATAATGTCAAAACAAGAACCAATCCACGAGAACTCTCTACTGACAGTGCAGAAGCAAACAGGACAAGAATTTGATGCTACACCCGTGAGAAATAGTTAAATTCTTGTAAACCTTCTGGGGCCTTCGTATCCTGACTATCAAGATGGAAAGCCTCAGGATGTATTCAAAGATTTCAAAAGGCTGATCTCCAGAAAAAGGGGAAAACATCTGCAAGACACCGCATCCGGGAGCTTAACGCGCAGATGTGAGAAGGCTCAAGTATGCAGTGACAGAGATATCAACCGATGAAATACGAGAGCTTAGAAGTAAATAGCTGCTTCTAAAGAATTAACAAAGGCAGTTTGGGTTTACCACATGGAATTTTTGACACTCCTCCTCATGCCCCGTATCCAGACCCAGCTGGAGGGACTCTGGCCACAGGAGGAGGAACAAAGCAGTCCACCCTTCCACGCCCTCTGCCAAGGTGGGGGGAGCAGAGAGACACACAGAAGAAAACATTTTTTTCTCACTTTCTAAGTATGATTTATCTTGTAGCTTGGGCTTCAGTAACAGCTGCAGATGGGGCACAGTATCCTCCACAAGAAAGACCAACCTGCCTAAAAATTGCTGCTGAAATTAGAAGGTACTTCTTGGTGTAAAGCTAATCAAACGCGAACACTCAGAACAGACTCATTTTGGGGAAATTCAACAGCCTAATGAAGACAATAGAACACAATCACCTTGCCCCTCCTAGCAGGTCATAGCTTCAAACCATTCAAAACTCTGATTTTTGTCTGTCAGGTACAAGAACAACTTTGAGCTTTCCAGGTCTAGCAACAATAAACAATTCTCCTCTCTTTCCAATACTTTTCCAATTAATATTCTCTACACGTGAAGGCTTCTAACTGCCATTTCTGGATCACGAGCATGGTTTTACATGCTAAATTTTTACTTCTATCATCACTAACCTTTAAAGAGCTGACCAAGTTTCCTCCTTGCCACTCACCCTCCTGCTCTGCCAAATCTGCAGTGCTCCACCGCAAGTCTAGTGACTCTGTGCAACTGCTTTAACTGTCGGTACTGGCCCCATTTTTTTCTACTGTATTGAATTTAAATTCCTACCCTTTGCCTTCAAACCCCACACAGCTGTCCACACTTGCAACACCTAACTCCATGCAAGGTCTGACTTTGTGTGGAGTCTGTTTATTATTTAAGGAGATACAAAAAACCAACTTTATTTTCTGTCAAGGG